CAACACCAACACCACCAACAACACCAGCAGCAGCAACAGCAACAACAGCAACAACAGCCAGAACAACAACATCATCTACATCAACAACATAATCCTCCTCCTCCTCATCATCATCATCATCAGTATCATCGTCAGCCAGTTTTCGTCGTCATTATCGTTATCGTCATTTCATCGTCATCGTCATATCGACATCATCACGACGATGGTGAACGTCAGCAGCACCACCACCATCGGATGTAGGGTTCCTTAAGGGCCTGGTATTCCGCGATTAGGTTTCAGGTTTCGGACTTAGAGTGCAGGATATGGACTGTAGGATGTAGGAGTTTAGGATTCAGGGGGTGTAGGTTTATGGCTTTGATCTTTATAGGGTTTCAGGAAGGTTGACGCGCCTCCCTCGGATGAGGCCGTGGGCGTGGGCCCCGGCAAAGTCCAGTTCGAGTCTGTCACAGGGCAGGACTCCGCTGCTTGGCCTCAACTTGGGTTCCGAGATGGTCGGTACACTAACCATAGCGGTCCCCCATAATTACATGGTTACTGCAAGAGGAATAGGAATAGGACGAGAAAGCGGTCTAGGGGCGGGAGCAAGAGCAGGAGCACAAGGAAGGAGAGAGTGGCATCGGGACTTGGAGTGTCGTGATGGTGATGGTGGTGACTGTGCATGTGGTTGTGGTGGGCTGACGATGATGTTGCACGTGGGCAAAAAGGGAGCCAAGTGGCAAATATTCAATCTGAACATTTTCGGTAACCCTCGCGTCCGTAAACTTCGGGTGTGTTCCAATGGCACCTGAAACCCGCACCTTCAATGCCAAGCCACTGAGGTTGGCGATGTGCGCACGTCCTTCACCTATTCCGCCATTCAGAAGGCCCAAGAACAATGGAGGGGCCTTAATAATTACCTATACTATTTTGGGGGTTCCTTATCTTATAATTATAATACAATATACCCCATAACCCGCACCAAACGGCCTCATATCCCAAACTTTACAACTCTAAATCCTGAGCAGACCCTTATAGCAGCCCCTTGTAGAACCCTCCAGCCAAGCCTACAGATACCGTATACGTCCCTCATAAAATCCGACACAAGCTGAAACCCTAAACAACCCTACAAAACCCTAAACCCAAGACCGACTCAACAGCCAGTTCCCGGCCATGCCTCCGCAGGTTTCAAGGTTTAGTGTTTGGGGTCCAGGCTTGAATTTGGTGCAAGATGTCGTAGCAACATTGTGATACATGTTTTTGGTCAAAGGTCCTGAGACACAACCGGTTTAGGCTAACGTTAAAACTTTAAGAGTGCTCTTGCGAATTAGCGGTCTAGAGTTTACGGGTTTGGTTCATGAGAAGCCTGGAATGATGGGGTCTAGTGTTTGCCTTAGAGGGTTCATGATACAATTCAGGCGTGGCGCGGCAACTTCAGCGTTCGTTCTGCCATCCACAAAAACCGAGTTTGTAGCCTTGGGCAGGCTAGCATAGCAGGGAGGTTTGAATAATCTGCAACAGTAACCCCCCTCCCCTTATGGTCACTGTCTTTATTTGCATACACCAAAACCAAATTCCAACAACTTTTGAAGTGCATTATCTTCGACAGCCAACCCAGAAATCCAAACCTTGCAGCGAAGAGGGGGTCTGTAAGGCGTACAGAGGGATTTAACGAGGGTCTTGTCAAGGCATCATAAGGCTCCATACTCTATACGATACTTCAGGCTTTTACAGTAGGGTTTAGGAGCTTAGGCTTTAGGATATTGCGGCTCTCGGACAGGGCGTCACGAAAGTCTCCGTGATCGCGAAACAAGACACCATGTCACCAGCGTCGACCCACATAGCCAGCCTGTCTCCCTGGAATACAGGCCTGTGACTCTGCGGAAGTAGGGGGAGTGCGCCTTTTAAGGGGTTGTGGGACCGCTCGACGAGTAAACCCAAGCCCCATCCCCAGAAGAGGTTTTGGGACATCCCTTCGAATCTACTATAGGGGCCTCAATAATTAGAATAGGCTTTGGGGTATGTTATTCTATATTTATAATAAGGAACCCCCAAACCCCTATTCTACCTATTAAGGCCCCTACATTATAAACCAGACCCTAATGTAAGGGACTAAATCATTACAAATTAAGTACTATTTTGGGGCGATCATATTATGATTATAGGACAAAGACTCCCCAAAACCCTATTCTAATCATTAAGGCCCTACTATTCAAGCCCATTATAGATTCTACATCGAACCCTCTATAAGGATCCCTTGAAAGGAACCCCCTATTCTAATTGTTAAGGCTCTACATTAACGCCCCGAATCCTGAAGACCCGTGGCCAGAACTTTGCGGGACGATCAACAGAGCTAAACCCTCAACCCAGGGTTTAGGGTTTAGGGTTTAGGGGGTTTAGGGGGTTTAGGGGGTTTAGGGGGTTTAGGGGGTTTAGGGTTCAGGGTTTAGGGGGTTTAGGGTCTACGGTTTAGGGGTTTAGGGTTTAGGGTTTAGGGGGTTAACCCTAAGCTCAACCCCAACAGTAATGCTAAAGCCCGAAACCCTTGACCCTAAACCCTAGCATTGCGCCCCCTATCCGAAGCAGGAACAAGGCACCAAACGGAACGTTCCGGAAGTAGGGTTCAGGGTGGAGAGGTTTATGGTTTGCCTGTGGCTGGAGGTTCAGAAGATCAACGGCTGAAAATGTCAGTAACTTAGGAACCCCAAAAGGACAGAAGCACAAGCATTTTATAGGGATACCATTCCTTACTGGGCTTCGTTATAAGGGGGTCTATATGGGATATCCCTATCCCTATTTTTGCTTATGTGCTTTTTTGGGGCCCTAGTAACTGATAGTAGAGATTTCTCATGCTTACCACCAGCCATAGTGCCACTGTTCAGTGTGCTTGGAAACTTCCAGCGCTGCCAATCGGATCGACATCCGCATATCCGTCCACTTCCAAACGTCCGTCGTTATCATCATCATCACCATCACTCTAAACCCTAAAACACTAATCCCCTAAACCTCTAAACCCCTAAACCAGCTGGTCAGCTTCATTTTCTTCAGCCTCCTCGCCTCTCCGCTGTCGCAAAGCTCTCGGCCCGAAGCCCCAAAGCATAAGCGTTCACGGTTTAGGGTTTAGGG